GGGAAATACTTTCTCTGCCCCTGCTGCCTGCCAGCCAAGAGCTTCCGAGCTTGGAGGCTTCACCTAAGGAAAAATATCTGTAGAGGGAAAAAATCTTTAGCAACCAATGAGACAAAGCTACCATCTCAACTAACTCTGTTAAGGGCTATTTTCAGGGAGGAACGTGAGAACAGGTATCCCTTGGGCAGTGGGGATTACACCGTATGGGCAGCAGGACAACCTGCACGTGCTTTAGGGGACTTATCCCTAAAACATCCATCCCCAAACATGGGGACATCCAAATAACGCTACAGAAATTGAGCGGCAGAGCCTCCAGAGCAAACAGCTCAAGAGGAACAGGGCCGTTGCCCGGAACAGAGCGCAGAAGCGGCTGAGCAGGACAGCTAGGGGATGTGGCCGCAGGGTAACGTCCCTCTCCTCGCCTTGAACAAACACGGCAGCCTGCACAGGAAGCCGTGTACAAGAAGATATGGAAAAAGGAAAGGAGACTTTCAATGGAGAGTTGAGCTGGACACATTTGCCTTAATCCATTCATCTCCCAGGATTTTAAACCACCATTAACTTTTAACTGTAACAGCCTCTGCTCCTCATCCAGGTTTTTCCCGTAGCTTTTAGTATGATGATTTAAGGCAACCTAGGACTATCCGAAGAGTGCCTCCACTTTGATATTCAAGTTTAGTCAATGTCTACAGCTGCCTGGATGATAAACAGATTTGCTTTATGTTAAAATAAGTCAAACACTCAACTTACCATCCTTCTACTGACTCCAGTTACCCTGATTTATAGCAACTGACCTGGCCCAGTATTCAAGCTCCAGATGATATTACAGAGAAGATGGAATAATTACCGAACAAGTATCCTCTTCAGCAACTGCTGATCTCCTTCAGAGTAGCCAGGCCAGTCCTTCTGCACTTCTTTGTATACGCAATCTTTCAGTGTGAAAGTGCTGTCCTTGGCACTCAAATTTGCCACCTGAAAGAAAAGTAATTTGCAAAAAAACTGTTAGGGTTTAATTTTCTCGCTTATTCTAACAAAAGATATCTAAGATGTAGGCAAAATCTCAGCAGACTTCGCAGCGGTTAGTAGTGTCAGAGAACGAGTAGAGACTTTATACCTCATCTCCTAATTATTTAGATTATTTAATCAAACTGTGCCTTTCCTTTTGCCTTGTCACTGCACCAGTTTATTGCGTTTCAAAAGCATATCCAATTTACTAGGAAACAAGTTACATGTAAACAGATTATTCAGCTTGGATAGTCTGGAATGGTACAAATCAGTTTATGGAAATACCTGGAAATAACCCTAGTGGGAACAGGCAGTTCACTTATCACACCTGTCCGATAGCTCAAATGGTGCAGTTTATTAGCTGCGAGAGGAACTCTTGCGGCGATAGCCTAGTTAACAATTGCCAGAAGATAATTTCTCACTAACAAGGCAGTAAAACAGGTGACAGAAAGCTACTTTCTCAAGGAGCAGTGAAGAGAATGCCTCGCAGATATAATGCATTGGGGAGCTTGCAGGTTACACTGTGCAGTTCAGTGCATTAGGATCATCTGCTGGATTTCATGCAGGAAAACTTTTCTGAGGACTACTTCAGGGCACGAACAAAAACCTGTGATTACCAGCTTATAACCCAGGGTTTTACAATAAAGCATTGCACTTAAATCACGTGCTGCAGTTAGCTCAGTACACTTGCATGAGAAGCTTTGTGACATTTTGTCCAATTCTATCATGTGTAGTTTCCCCACAAAACTCTGCATGGTGCCTACACGGAGAGGAAACACTGCTGGAACCGGCAGAATTGTATTAGAATGGAAACAACTTGTTAAGAGTTTTCCCACTTTAATCAGTCTTTCCACAGCTTGACTGAAAATTTAACTTCTTGCTGCTGGTTACACGTCTGAAAAATACAATGTTAGCACAAACCAAAAAGCCCCAATTAAGTTTTCACAGATACCGTACTGTCTTAGTGAACCCTTCTTAGGTGACTCTAGAGCACTGCGAGTTTAGGAAGAAAACAAAGCCTTAAATTTGTTTTTATCGAAGGGATATGGAGGCAGAGGTGCCAAATGCTGTGCCCACAGCCAGGCTGACCAACTGGCAAAGCCAGCAACCGTGTCCCAAACTCACTGCTTTAGCCGCCCCGTTTGCCGACTGTATTACACTTGAAAGTGGAAGATGCTTTTATTCAGTCAGTGGAGATACCGTGCATCTGTTCAAGGATTAGCATTCTCCATTGCTCGCTCCATTCACGAGACGGTTGTGCTTATGAATTTCTATTATCCACGCAGCAGTAAGATAGCCTCAGAAAAGCAAGTGAGGGAGTGGAAAGTCTTGAATTAACTGAAGATGCTGTTAATCCCTCTGCTTTTAATTTAGGGAGACTATGACCTAATATTAAAAATCTGTGAATTTAAAGGCAAAAAGCTGCAGAACTAATACAGCAAAGCTCTCCTGATAAGCAAAAAAATAAAAAGCACAGTTATCAGTTTACATGATGAACACTGTTTTTCCTTTCAGTTCTGTCAGCTTTCCAAAATCCTGAGCCAAAATACAAGAAGAATTTGAGCTGTGTTTTACATTTAGATATCCCAGTAAACATGCCCAAGAGACAAAAGCAAAGCTAGGTTCTTTTTCACAAACTCTCCGAGAATCGCTCCGGTTACTGCCTCTTCCTACAGCGGGAGACACGCTGCTCGGCAAGGCTTGTAGCCCAGGCAGAAGAACAACGCCGATTCTCTCCGCACAGAGGCTGCGAGCTGCCACCTCCTTGTTTTGCTGGTGTGGGACTCTGCAAGCTCCACCCCAGGCCTCCCAAAAATAGAAACCTTGCAAAATGAGGCAAAAAGGCCAGCAGGAACACAAAAGTCCTATGAGAGATGCAAGAGTACAATGAAACCCACACCTAGACATATTTAGACATGTAGCTTTAATGCAGCCTGTAATTTTTAGCTTATCTGTGCCTGCCTGCGGATGGGAGCCCTGGTAGCACTGAAAGATTACGTTTACGAGCAATACATTTCCAGCCAAATCAGCATTTAGCCTAATCAGGCTGACACTGTGGACACTGCCAAACACACCACTTGCCTGCTAGGGGGTTGTGAGAGCATCAATAAAAGGTGATTATCAGAGACAGTATTTCTAGCATTAAACCTATTTATAGCATCCAAAAGGGTGCTCAAAAGAATTCTAGCACTGCTGGAAAATTAAGGGCTACAGGATTAAAATCTAGGGAAGGAGCAATAACTAATTGTGCCAGCAATAACTCCATTTTCAATATGACCTGCCCTGTGCCCTTGGACAAACTAACTCCTCACGGTGTCATTCTTTTCAGCTATGGAAAGGAGTAAAAAAAAAAAAAAATCCAATCCAGGAGAGGGCAGCTGCAAAATTTAAGTAAATATCCATGATGCGTTTTGCACTGAGAGCGCAATAAAGGTATTTACTGCAATTCCTAAAATGGCACCTTCAACATGACTCAAAGTGTTAAGAACTGATTCAGCTTGAAGACAGCTTTCACACTTGATATACAAATAATATGCTTTGCAAGAAGCTGCATGATCTTCATACCTAACCAGCTGCACTTCTTAAGCAGGAAAGGCATGGGTGTGAACAATACGAAGAAGATGTAAAGCTGAGTGGAGAGGGACATATTTTTTCTTTCACATAGGAAACATTATATGTATCAATACAGAATGTGTTCCTTTACGTCCATGTTAATAAAATACAGAATAGATTTAAAGGTTCTAACAAATCGAGCTGCTCGTAGATCCTCTGTTAGACATTCTCCCCACAACCAACCAAAAGTGTTCCTCTTAAGTGACTGATCTGGTGAACCGAAATCATACAGCTTAGTTGCATACAACAAAACCCGAGGCATATACACGAGAGGCTTCTGCTATCTCTAACAAAATAGTAACGTGAACTGCAAACTTCTGTCGGACACGGCCTTTAGAGAAACATTCAGCCGCAGCTTTGACATACACAGGTTACGTTCAGACTAATACAGAAGGTACTCCCATTCTGAGAAGACATTTCCCTTTACCTAAATTGTTGCCTTCATCAGAGTACAAACCTGTTGCAGAAGGTTGTCCAGCAAATCCTTGTCCTGCTGAGAAAGTCCATCCTTCTGCAATCTGAGAATAAGTTCAGGTTTCTTATAAGGCTTTAGTGCCAGTAAGTGCACAACCCTATCTTTGAAGGGTCTCTGAGAAATCGCACTATTGCCTCTCTTTATTGCACTGGCAAGGTTGACTGGCGTTGGGCGCTTCCTGGAGGGAACAGCATCGGAAGCTCCTGGTGCAGGTTTACGCACCTGAACCTTTTTGCCTAAAATGAGATGAGAATAGTGAACTGCAGCAGTCACCTTGCAAAGGCCAGTGGTCTGTCAGCACGTATATGGAGTTCATCACACCACCTGAAGTGCCCGAAGATGACAATGAAGGACAAACACAACCAGCAACACCATCCGCTCCGATACGCCGCCGGAACAATTATCCCATGAGTTTTATGATTCATGACAAGCTTGTAACAAGTAAACAGCAACACCAAGCTCTGGGAACCTGAGTATTATTGGCCACAAGCTTACATAAAGCTCTCTTTGTTTGCCAGCTTTTCATTTATCCCAAGTGCATGTATCCCCATGGTTAATCTAACCATTTTTTCCCTCCCTATGAGAAGAAAATTCTGCATTATTATGTAGAAGAGTCAAAATATGGAGCGGAAAGACCAGAACTGGTCAACGAGTGGCTCCCTGCTGCTGATCTCAGCAAAAATGCTACTCCAGCAGATGTTTCTGCTTTAGAACAATAGGAACTTTATGGGGCTGGGTCCACCTCCCTTCCCCCCCGCCAAACACAGCCACATGAATGGGGTCTAACACCGATACATTAGCCTATTCAGTAGTGTGCTGCCTATTCTAACAGAAGAACCCCTTTCTACATTGCAGTAATAACTGCTTCACCCTCCAATTACATTTATGTATACGTGAGAACATAAAGCTGCCTCTAAAGTTCATCCTGAGCCCTCAGAGGCAGCTTCCTCAACTCTGTCCCAAATGTGGTTCTTGGTTTCTGACAGCATTATACAAGAATTCATTTTCCCACTTCTATTGAAAAACAGCTTTAACTAGAACCCTCACAAAAAGTCCCGCATCACTTACTAAAGCGCAAATCAAAGAATTTTACTATTTTGAAATATGAAACAGGTCATGACGCCAGGTTCCTGCTACCAAAGGCGAAACCAGCAGATCAAAAATGTGTAGGTTCTGAGGTCTAGAACATGGAGATGCAATCAATAATCACTCCGGTTCAAGAAAGTGACCTTCACTAGGACAAACAACATCCAGCATCTACTGCAAGAATTTTGGAGGTTTATTTCAGCACGGCAATTCTCCACTGCTAGGAAGCAATGTTTTCAACTGAGTCATCTGAAGATACTGGTGATTGTCTGCTGTGTTTATTTTACTGAAATGTAGACTGCATAACTGAGCCCCCATTTCCTGGCTTTTTATTATGCACCACGCTGATGCAATTTAGTACGACCCATCATCGGCAGGGCTGAGTTAAGGCGAGAGGGAGAAAAACAACAATTCACATGTTAGACATCCCAAAATTCAGAGGTCAACTGGACTTCATTTCCCGAAATGGGACAAGAGAAGATTCGTCAGCTTTCTAGAACTCCCTTAACTCTTGCCAGGTCATGAACAGCAAAAACACATTGGACATTTCCACTTAAGGCTGGAGCCAAAATGTGTAATGATAGGAAAAGAAAAAACTAAGTTAAGCCAGAACACGAGGGCTTTTAAAATATTTATACATGTGCATATATAGAGATGTACACACACACACACATTTAGTGTATATATAAGCACAGATATCCCCCTACGGACATATCTATCTATTTACATATATATTTGTTCAAGTGTTGGTTCACATCTATACTGTTCTGTTGATCTCCAATTTCAACATTCATATAAATTCTTCCACATCTGAGCTGCCTGGAATGACTCCACTGACGTTTTAAGTGCTGAGCTCCGTGTTCTCACGGAAATGTGAGAGCCAGCCTTCTCCCTCCAGACTAGCCTGCATCAGCTGATGGTGCTGGCACACCAAATACGTGCGTACCGCGCAAGAGGACTGTCCTTGCCCAGGCTGCTCCTTCTTGGACCAGTGCTTTCCTCCCGTCTTCAACGCTGACATCTTATATATGCAGCACGCACTCCACTCCACTGCTTTTTACATGGCTGTACCTCCATTTCAGAGCAGTAAACATTTTAGCAAGAGTATTTTTAAATCAAAAGTTTTACTCCATCTTTCCGGGAAGCAATTTGCTTGGAGAATCTTCTCCCTCGCAAGCCTAACAACTTCATCCACTTACTGTAATGTTCTCAAATATAAGCTAAACAAAATAATCTTCTAGTCTACAGGAAATCAATGCATTTCCTTCCTGATTACTATCTTATTTCTCAGCTTTGAGCACTTGGCTGATAAAACAATGAGTCAGGGTCAGTTCTACATTTTGCAACTCACGATTCTCGTCACAGACATCCTCCGAGAAGAGACTGGCTACAGATCACATGGGCTGCAGAAAAAACAGCTGGCTCAAAAAAAAAAAAAAACCTCTGTCTTCTGGTTAATATTTGTGCCTCAAGTTTGTGATCAGACTGAGCTTAGCCAGGGACCTGAGCCCAAAGCTTCTTCTGGAGCCCACTGCTATGTGCCACAGTTTTATCTCCTCCCCTACCACTCTCCTTTCATTGTCACAGTAAGATGCTTTGTGTAAGGCTGCAGTCCGCAGCTCTGCTTCAGCCTTTTTGTTTATTAACACAAGCGCTCTGCTAGCTGCATCCTAGATGTTGCGTGTTATGGGCTCAAGTGCAGGCACACACCAGATGTGTAACAACAGCGGTGGTACATTTTAGCTGACTTTGCTAGGAGCACAGACACTTCTGATGGATCAGCAGTATGCTCTCAGCATCACTGCATGACAAATATGAAATAATGCCAGAGGGTGATGCGACTGCACACAGACAATCCTCAGAGGCCACGCAAACACCACCACACATGTTCTAGGGTGAAGATGGAAGCCTGAAGAAGTCACAATACAAGGAGAGTAGCACCCTAATAAAGCAGACACCCAGAAGGAACTACCGTGTACTTGTTAAAGACTTTCATGGGCAAGCAAAACAAACGTCAGCATTAGACTTCGGAAGCTAGTGAAGACACCCCCAAATCAAGCTGCTGCTTACCTACGTATCTGCCCCCCGGTTTAATGACGATAGCGCTCCGGCTGCGAGTCTCCTCCTCTGCCTGTGCCATGCTTTGCCTTGCCTTCTGGTAGGAATCATCAGTAGCGCACACGGTGATTTTATCCTGTATGCTTCCAAGGCAATCCAAATGGATATTGCCATTGCTGCAAAAGAAATGCAATGGAAAAGATACTCCCAACACTACAAACGGGCACATCTCTGTCACTGGTGAATAACTGAGGTTGCATTATCTAAATAGGAGGGGACAGAAAGAAGCTGGGAGGTAAACAGATTCTTCTGTGAGTGCGTCCTTACCCAAATATACACACGCAAACAGATTAGAAAGACTCTAAAAAGAAAGAACACGTATTAAGTTTTGTTCACGTTTGTCAGGGGAAGATTTTACAGAAGACAAGACATCAAAAAAAGGGCTAGGTTTTCTTTTGCTCTACCACTCACCTAGATACATACTGCTGGATACAGTCAAAACTCCCTTGGGGGCTGTCCTTGCCAATATTTGAAAGATAAAATGTGAAAGTCCGCACTTCTGTAGGTCGATCAGGCCTTGGAATTGCGATGTGCTGTTTGGAAGGAGAAAAGTATTGGTCACTTGGGTAGCCCACGCTAACACAAAATTCAGTTTTTCAGCAGTCACTATGCTTTATAGCCATTTTGCAACCCACTACAAGTAAAGCATATGGATTACTGCATAGGAGACTATGAAGAGCAAGAAGCTACAAGAAGGATTCAAGTCAGCAAAACTAAACGCACTGAAAAGACAAGGTAACAGAGGGAGACAGATGTAAAGTACAGCTAAGACGACAGCTATGTCTGTAACAGAACAGAGATCTGAGCTGGCGGCCTGCTGCCTTTCAAAGTGGAGCCCACAATAATCTTGTTCTAGGAATCTGACCCAATTCTATTGATTCAGGCTCAGACTTGCTACCACTGTTTATATTCAATTTAAAGCACTTGAGGCTTGTTTCTTCAGAATTAGTGATCCAGCACTAAACATAGCACAAGCCAGGTCACTAGGTAGCATGCTTATTCTTTTTTAAGAGATTATAATTCCATAACAAGATTTCATGGCTCACAGTAGTGTGACGCTGCTGCTAAATTAAATATTTAATCAAGCATTAAGTGTGCTCCACAGACAACTCTACAGTGACCTGCATTGTTTTTCTTCCCCCAGCCATTCATTTTTCAAAAGGGAAACTGTTTCTCCTCTGCATTCAAGATCTGACATAAATCTCAGCATCTGAGCTCTACTATCACGTCAATATTTGATAATTAAGATGGCTTCCAGAAAGGGAGACAGAAGGAACATCAGCTTCAACCTATTTTAGGCTACACTCTACCACACAGATTTATATTTACCCAGATTGCCACATATATGCACAAAATACACATGCCTAGCCAGCCAGCTCGTGGCATCCACATATGAGTGTGCTCCGTGAAAGATTACTGCTGCTACAGAAGGGTTTTAGGTGGTTTCCCTTTGACCTCAGACGTCTACAGCAGCCTGGAAACCCGGTGCATCTGTGCCACTTTGCTAAACCACAGGGATGTTCTCGGAACCGGCAAGAAACGCTTGTGTGACCTGCACTGAGCTGAGCCAGTGCAGCATTTTCCATTTACTCTCCGGAAGGACGGGCTATCCTCCAGCCAGCCCTCAAAACAGACTTCCCTTCTTTCGAAACGGCAAGCCAAGAAACCGAGACTCGAGCGATACAGAAGGAGAAGTTATCCCCTGCACGGTCCCAGGATCCGGATCTAAAAATACTCGGAGCAGATTCGGTGGCGATCCGGGCGCTGACGGGCAGCGCTGACCCTCCGGCAGCAGCAGCTGAGCCCCGTTATCTCCCCTGCCAAACGTGCGCCGGCAGCCTTGAGCCCTTAATCTGTCCGGGCACCCTCTGCCCCCACCCATCCAGAACAAATAAAATTCTCTTCTGCTTTACAAGCGAGCTGAGAATATGCACAAAGTCAAAGTTATGTAAACAGTAGATTGTGGGTATTTTACAGCTGGCACCGTTCACCCGCTAGTTAATGTGCTGGGAACGGGGCAAGAAGGTGAACGCCACGGGTCTGCTCGGCTTCTAGCGCCGTGCGCTGGGGGAGCGAGCTGTGCCGCACGTGACGGGTTTGTAAAATACAACCTGGAGGATGCAACCAAATCATACGTTCACATACTAAAATAACTTGCCTTAGCTCCTGATTTACCACTGTAAAAAACGGCTGCTCTGAGAGCCCCGACTTTGGCATTTTTGTAGAGTTTCTGCAGCTTCTTCAAAGGATGTAAAATGAGACTTCAGAGTTAAATGTTGCTCGTTCCAGTACTGAAAAGTGTAACATATGCAAACTGGCCGTTATCTAGGAATTATTTTTAGCTGAAACAGAAGGTTTCTCAAGCCACCAAATCAGCATGGTAACTGCTTTGAGGGAGCCCTAATTTTGGTGCCGAGTATTACACCAGTAACCATAGACACTTAAAAATAGCTCAGTACAGATGTTACTTCTGTTTTTTTTTTCCTTTCAAGTAATATTCATCTGTGTACAGCTCATTCTGAATGGCAATTTCACCTTCCTCTATTAATATCAGCACAAGTTCATCCCAAGAAAAAGGGGAAAACGTCATATTTTCCAATCACGTAAAGTTAAGGCATTTTGATCCTAAGAGTCATATTCAAGAAAGCTGCATGAACAGACGTGTATTTGGCAGCCGAAGGGTTTTTCTCCCCCCAGTTCAGTTCTTTCCTTTTTTTACTCCCCCCATCTCAGCCCCACCCCCGTAAGCACCTGCAAATGCGACCCAAGCCAACGTCTAATTCTGCACATGCTTTTACTGAAACAGAAGCATCTTCAGCCTTTCTTGTGAGTTGCGCACTCCAACCACCACTGTTCGGAATGCGTTGGTACTCAAGCTCTTGAATTCTCATTCACATGCATGTTGAAACAAGCAAAATGCTTCAGCCTCCATATAAACTTACAAAAGTATCCAAGAAAATCCAGTTCATGATGAAAAAGTAATCTTAAGGAATACCCAGCTAGTCCCGCTCTAGCATCGCAAAGCACAGTAACACTGCTAATTCCGACCTAGTTGCTACTATTGAAATTCTGATCATTGCACAAATTATTGCGCTGAAGAAGTAATTAACAAGACTAGCATTGCTATAAAGAAATACATCCCGAGGCAAAGATCATTTACAGTCCATAGTTTATAGACACTCTCCTGAGATTCGATCCAGACCAGGATCCATGCAGGAGGTTTCGTCCCGACACCGAAACAGCTGTTTTATTTCGGGCTAGAACCACCAACATCCTCCTTTCAGTGCCCGGCCAAGAGCTGCCACCTTGCTGACCCCACGTTTTATTCCTGGCCAATTCCCTTCTCCGGTTAATTAGAATATTAAACGTGAAAGTTTTTTTTCTGTGTATTAGAAGCTGAGAGTATCCTTGACAGCATTCACTAGACTAACACTGGGAATAGGTTAAAAAAAAAAACAAAACCAAGATATGGACACAGTAATTTAAAAGCTCCGCAAATAATGAGATTCAACAGGTCAGGAGGCTTCTAGAGAATTAAATTAAATTAAGGAAGCAGCAGTTTGTTTTAAACTCTTATTTTATGTCCTGCTTCTCCCAACCATCAAGTATTTTTAAGTTTTTCCTTCCTGTAAGAGGGATATTTACACAGAAAAGTCACACTATTAAAATCTTGTATCACCGGACACTGCTTTAAAACACACTCTGACATCTGTGCTACATACAAAACCTACCACCCTCAAACCCAACATTTATTAGGAAGCAACAAATTGGTGAATTAAGGTATAGTGGAAGAAAGCGTATTCCAAAAATAAATAGCTAAACAAATACGTTTTAATGTCATCATCCGAATTTGAGAATGCGTTAAATTGTCTTTTCAGTCCAATTGATAGGAGGCTCACTAGAAAGAATTTAAAGCCCTGCCGTCAATTCCTTAAAGCAGGGCACAATCGTGACATATATGAGTACTACACTTAAAAACAGATGGTTACACAGCTGCCAGCTTCTTGTCATACCCAGTAAAAATAATAATAAAAGGACAAAGAGCTCTTTCTATCTGCCCCAATTGAACTGGATCTCGCTTTCTTCAAAGCTCTACCTTTGGCCTTTACTCGACAGTGCAATTAATTAAACAGCTGAAAACGAGGGAAGCGGAGGTCAGTGCTGCGCTGCCAACATCCTCCTTGCACCCGCAAGGCGCCGGCGCTGCTCGCACCGCGCAGGGCTCAGCGCTTCGCTCTTTAAATGGCCACATCGGGCGCGATCGTGCTGCTTCGCTCCTTCTCCGTTCAACCCGGGCTGTAATCACAGGTGACTGGCAGCTCTTTCGCCAAAAGCCTCTGCTCTGGAAGTCAAGGGCTCAAATACAATTAAGTGCATTAAATATTGATTTTTAATAAGGAACCGCATAATTTGAAAATATTTTTAATTATCATAAGGAGCGGCATCATTTTAAAGTAGGGCCTTTTTTTAATTATTATGGGGAACTGCATCATTTTAAAATAAGTTTTCTTCTGGTTAACCTGAAAATGCCCGGGTCCGTATCAGATCCACGTGAAACCCGCTACAAGGACAGCGCAGCGACTGAGGGCAGGGGAGCGTTTTAAGCTGTTCTGATTCATTTTGCTACATTTCCTTCAAGAAGGAAGATTAAGAGGAATTTCTAGAACTTAAGCAGCTTTACAGGAAAAGTTAGGTGTAGATCTTCCCCAGGTGCTCTACAAAGGGAAAGGAAAACATTTGCAGTCTTTTTAGCTTCTTTATTACATGCAAAGCTGTTTGCTCATCTAATAGCAAAAATCATGCACCCTTAGAAGTTTTCCTTGTCACTTGCTTCTAATTTTTTAAACTTTAGTTGCAGATTTTTATCTAAGCTTTCATGCTGAGCTTTCTGGGAAGTTTAATTGTAAACAAAGTAAAAAAACCTGGAAATTGCTCCTTTCTTTATTTCCCAGGACAAAAAGGGTTGTATTTTTCTCCTTCAGATAACAATCATGTCTTTCCTGCTACATTTTGTTAGAGTACTGTTAGTGAGAATAACATCACAAGGTAAAATATGGGCAAGGAGAAACATGCTAGACTTTAATGCCTACTTAATTCAAGCTTTTTTGAAAGTTTTATTTTTTTGTGGTGGCACAATAAAGAAGTTTACAGCTGAGTTCAGATTCTTGGGGGGCACGGTGTGGGGGAGGAAATTAAATTCCCCTTCCTTATGCAGAACACCTAAGTTAAACACACACCTTTTTGTATCTAAAAGGTATATAAATTTTTAAAGTTCACTGAAGAGTTGCATTACTTTACCAGAAATACTACCAATTAAATCTCAACGTTGTCAGTAACTGGCATGACAGACGGTTTCAAGCGTCTATAAATACCTTGGAGGAGTTCAGTCATTGGAACAGAAGTTAGAGAAATAAAACTCCTAAATATAAAAAAACCTTTTGGTGCTCACAGAAACTGCCGAGTTGTTTAGACGTGCATATTAAATAAAGCTTCAGTACATTCGTAGCAGCCTCCAAGCACTGCTACTGTAAATAACTGGTACCATAAAAGTCTTGCACCAAATTTACCAGGCTTGGCACGGCGTTTCCTCGGGACACAGGCGAGGTTTCCACGGATTGCTGCGCCCACCACAGTACCGCCATCAGTGAACTTTCCGTTTCCTTGTTCTACCCAACAGCGTGGCCTTATAAAAGTAAATTTCACCACCGGCAACACCGGTGGTGCTGGTGCTATGGATTTAGCAAGGTTAGAAAATAAAGAGGTGGGGGGGTAGTTTTTATAGAGAGATAATCCATCAAGTGA